ACATCATTTATTGGTTTAATTCATTTGTATTTAGGATAAGCCAGTGAGAGAGTAGTTAGTATTGGGGTAGCGCTGCACCAATTCACTTTATATTTTGGTATATGGTTGGGTGTTAGCAGCCCCTCCCCATAATTGTTATTAGTTCAATTTTGAGTAGAGCAGGAGGTTTCTATCATTTTAATATATAAAAAATATTGCCTACTAGAGTTGGTCTCGAACATCAGCCGTTCCATGAGTCAGGTGCAATGCTTTGGCAAACCACAGCGCATGATGATGTCACTGGGGTGGGGTCACCCAGTTGACATCACTGGGTGGCCTTGCCCCTTTGATATTTAAGAACTGTCAAGCCAGCGCAGCTGTCAGAGTGGAGCATTATTTTGTTCATGGTGGCGATGGGCATCGTGATTGACATTGGGTTTACTTCGGAGGACTTTTTTTTGTCTGTTTTTAAAGGACTTGTCAAAAACTGTCTGCTGTAAGTTTTTACACTACACTTTTTTGTGAATGAGTAGCGGTACCATGTATCCCATATTCATTCTTATGGGGTGGCAGGATCCGGGGGCCCTCTTGTTAGAGGGGGCTTCCAGACTCCGATTAGCCCCCACCCATGGGAGAACCCCGCTGACAGCTGAAGCATTAAAGAATGTTTTCGCTACTAAAATAATGTATGACTTAATAATATAACTTGTGTTGTTTTAGTAGCTGTGCGGTATCTTGTTGCATACTCGGATGCACTAAGATACCACTTTGTGAATTGTCCTGGTTCAAAGTTTGCGGTCGAACTTTCTGTAGGTTTGAATGTTCAACCGTGAACCAAACAGGGGGGGTGTTTGGCCCATCACTGTTGACTACTACTACTACTACTAATGAAATGTGTTCAAATAGCAAGTGCTCAGTTTTAATGGGTGTTACTTCTAGATTAAGGTACCTACATCCCAAATATCTATTCAAAAGATCTAAAAAACAGGGGCAGTATGATTTTCTTGGTACTGACAAAGACACAGTCATTTAAAGGTAAAACCTCATATTTTTATTACAGAAAGATGTAATATTAAAACAACATTGCTTGTTTAAAAATCCCTCTGAATTGGCTGTACCACAATCACACCAATGGTGCTATCTCACACCCACAAGCTGTTATTCCAAAGTAAAGGTGAGTTAGTAGTCAGCCAATCTCAACATTTTTCGTGGTTTCCCACCTTTTCAGGAGTATATTGAGGGACTATAGTTCTATAACAAAACAAAAAATACAAAATAATACAGCATATTATCAAAAATCTAAATACAACTTATCATAACATAATATGGGGTGTATTGTATATGATGACTGTCTTGGCACTTACCCCAGGACACTGGATGGATCTATAGAGGCAGACCACAGTGAGGCGCCAAAGATCCCTCAGGGCGAATGTGGGAGCAAGTCTAAAGGCCATAACTGCCTGTATGCATATAATGAAGATTGTTTTAGAATAAACACCATACCATGCCTCTATCCATTTTCAACAAGGAATAATAAGAGAAGATATAAAACATACCAGGCCTGTAATAACACCCCACTTCCAAAATGGAGCTGATGGGATTTATGCGGAACAGCACATGGTGCACACCTTTTAGATCATAAGATGTATATTAGTGCAATAAGATTAATTGGATACTAAGCAGTGTGATTGTTAAATCAAGGAGTTCAAAGAATGAAGGCATACCGCTGTATCTGCAAAAGGTAACATATATACAACCATTTTGACAGTGTCAAAATGTCCGCCGCAGTCCCGCCATAAGTCGCTGATCACTGTCATAAATCACTGATCACCGCCATAAGTCGCTGATTGCCGCCATAATTAGTATAAAAAAAAATCCTGCTTTCATGTAAAAGCAATCCTAGTGGCTAATTAGCTGCAGGATTGCTTTTACAAGCAGCGGGATATGATGCTCCCCCGCTGCCTTCCACAGCCTTCTCGGGCAGTCCCATGCCATCGGGGGAACCTGTGAATACAGCCGGTTTTTCTGCCAGCTGACCATAGAGCTGATTGGAGACCAGAGTGGTGCCAATCATCTCTATAGTCTAAGAATTCGGAGCTACGAGCATTTCATCACTTCAGTTTCGCAGGATATAAACAGCGCCATTTGTAAATTGGGAAAGCATCTGATCACACCGATTTTGGTTTGATTAGATAATGTAGGGCAGAGGAGATATCTAGAGCTTGATAGACCCCAGATTTCTAAAAAAAAGAATATATGACAATACCCATTGAAGTTATAGGGAATATTTGCATTCCCTGTGATAGCATTAAAAGTGCTAAAAAAAATGAAAGTTACAGTCTAAGAATAATTAAAAAAATCAAAATACCTTAAAAATAAAAAAAAAAACTCGCCCCTCCCATGCACACACACCTGTGTGCACAAGCCTTGACCCTGTGCCGGTATGTAAACAGCAGTTGCACCATACATGTGAGGAATCGCCGTGAACGTCAGATCAAGGGCAGTCATTCTAACACTAGACCTCCTCTGTAAATCTAAAATGGTAGCTTTTACAGGCTCTTAAAGTGTTGCCTATGGATATTAAAAATATATGCAGTTTGTCGCCATTGTAGTTGCATGTGCAGTTTTAAAGCATGTCATGTTTGGTATCCATTTACTCGGCATACCATCATCTTTTATATCTTACCAAATAATTGGCCAATATATTGTGTTTTTGTGCATTAAAAGCTAAAAAAGTGTATTTTTTTTTTTAAATTACTTTTGAAAAATCGCTGTGCGAGTAGTACTATGCGCCATAAAAAATTGTAGTACCCAGCATTTTATTCACTAAGGTGTCTGATTTAAAAAAATATATAATGTTTGGGGTTTAAATTAATTTCCTAGCAAAAAAATATAGATTTTTTTCATGTGGACAAAAAGTGTCAGAAAAGGCTTGGTCTTCAGGTGGTTAGAAGAATGAGTGATGTGTGGCATAAACTTCTAATGCTGGGCATAAAACGCCCCCACCCCCCAAAACGACCCCTTTTTGGAAAGTAGACACCCCAAACTATTTGCTGAAAGGCATGTTGAATCATTTTTTTTTACACAAAATTGTCACTTAAATGATTTACTGCTCACACATGCCATAGTTATATGTGGAATTACTCCCCAAAATACATTCTGCTACTTCTCCCAAGCATGGGGTACCACATGTGAGAGACGTTTTGGCAGCCTAGCCAAGCACAGGACCCCAAAATCCAATAAGCACCTTCAGGCTTTTAAAGAACTTTGTTTTCTCATTACACTTCCTGACTACCTATCACAGTTTCAGAGGCCCTGAAATGCCAGGATAGCACCTAACCCCCCCAAATGACCCATTTTTGGAAAGTAAACACCCCAAGGAATTTGATAAGAAGCATGGTAAGTATTTTGCAGATCTCATTTGTTGCCACAAGTTTTTGGAAAATGAAGAAAAAAAACAAAAACATATTTTTTTATTCTTTATTTATAATTCAAAAGCTTGTGAGAAAAAATGATAAAATACTCACCATGCCTCTTTTTAAATTTCATGGGGTGTCTACTTTCCAGAAAGGGGTCATTTGGGGGGGTTTAGTGCTATCCTGGCATGTCAGGGCCTTCGAAACTGTGATAGGTATTGAGGAAATGAAATGAGGAAGTTAGGCACCTTGAGGCTTTCAAAGTGGTCATTGAATTTGAGGCTCCTGTATGTGGCTAGGCTCCCAAAAAATCTCACGCATGTGGTATCCCCATACTCGGTAGAAGTAGCAGAATGTATTTTGTAATTCCACATATACCCATGGCTTGTGCAAGAAATAAATCATTTAAATGACAACTTTGTGTAAAAAAAAAAAAAATGTTTTTGTCATTTTCCAGGAACTTGTGGAAAAAAAATAAATCTTACATGGACTCAATATGCCTCTCAGCAGATAGCTTAGGGTGTCTACTTTCCAAAAAGGGGTCATTTGAGGGTGTTTGTACTATCCTGGTATTTTAGCACCTCAAGAAATGTGATGGCCAGTCAGAAAGTAAAAGCTGTGTAAATTCCATTATCTATGCCATAGTTTGTAGACACTATAACTTTCACACAAAGCAATAAATATACACTTACTGGGATTTTTTTAACCAAAAACATGTAGCAGAATACATTTTGGCCTAAATTTATGATGAAATTTTAGTTTTTTTTTGGATTTTTTTTATGACCGAATTGAGAAAATAGTTTTTTTTTTTAAAAAAAAAAAAATTTCTTCAAAAATTTTTTTGTTTATAGCGCCAAAAATAAAAAGTGCACAGGTGATCAAATACTACTAAAAGAAATCTCTATTTGTGTGAAAAAAGGACATAAATTTAATTTATGTACCGTATTGCATGACCGCGCAATTGTCCGTTAAACTAACGCAGCGCTGTATAGCAAAAAAATGGGGTAAATTGCAGTATCTATACCATAGTTTGTTGACGCTATAACTTTCACACAAAGCAATCAATATACACTTATTGGGATTTTTTTTACCAAAACATGTAGCAGAATACATTTTGGCCTAAATTTATGACTAACTTTGAGTTTACTATAAGTTTTTTATTAGCTGAAAGTAAAAAATATAATTTTTCTTCAAAATTTTCGGGATTTTTTTGTTTATAGCGTGAAAAATAAAAAGCGCACAGGTGATCAAATACCACTGAAAGAAAGCTCTATTTGTGTGAAAAAAAAAGGACGTAAATTTCGTTTGGATGCAGCATTGCATGACCGCGCAATTATCAGTTAAATTAGTGCAGTGCCGAGTAGTAAAAAAGAGGCCTGGTCATTAGGGGGGGGGGGGGGTAAATCCTCAGGAGTGCAAGTAGTTAAGAGAAAATCTAGAGGCATGCCTGATTTTATTAAGTATCATAAATGAACATTAACTTTCCATAATTTCAAAAGCAAAATTGTAGTATTGCAAGGTAAAAGCTTGGGTAGCATTCACAGTTTGTGAGTGACATTAATTGTTAGTGTTCTTATCTTCAGGAATGTTCAGAAACTTGGATCATGTGGACGCCAATCTTATATGTCCTCAACTATAAAAAGTGAATGGAAAATGGCAAAAATTGCCTTTGTTATCATCACTGTCTATGTTTTGTCTTGGTCACCTTATGCTTGTGTTACGCTGATTGCATGGGCTGGGTAAGTAGCTGATTTGTAATAAAATGTGAGCTTTTGATAATTTGTTTTATGTATTTTCAATCTAGGTCACTGACATGTTATGTTTTTAATGTTTGATTTGACTTATTCCCGTAATAATTAGTAGATTAACTATACTGTGATGCCAAATATAAAAGAAATACAAAGAAAAAATTATTTTGGCAAAAAAAACACAATTGGGAAAAAAATGAATAAAAACTGAAACATTATCACCTGTACATTTTTTAAATTGCATTTTTCAAATATGAGTCTCACAACTTTGTGGTCCCAAAATATTCCCTGGCCACCAGTATATGTTTTGCTTTATATGTCTTATATACACTGGGGCACTTCCCCTGGCTCCCCAACCATGGCTGCTAGTGGGACCTTTGAAATAGGGGTATCAACATCAAGTTCAGGCAAAAAAGTAACATCATTTACTTCAGACACTTTTATAATTGGTTACCTGTTTTTTGCCCCAAACGAGGAAAACCACAGCCTTGTATTACACTGTGTAGTAAGCTCTTAACCACACCCATGACTTGTTTTACAGTTCTTCTAGGTGACTCGACTGAGTACACCGCAGTAGGGTAGTCTTTGGCAGTGACATGTATACAAAATACTCTCATTCGATCTATGCAAAGCTTCAAGAGTCCACCAGCTTGGCTAGGGGACCATTCATGAGAGTATAAAAAATACAGTGAGCGCTCCAATGGTCAGCAGCTGAACATTCAAGGAAAACACATAAAAGTCCCAAAAATATATATATAAAGAAAATGCACCGCTGTGTGATGTTACTATGTTGCGGGCAGATATAAATAATAAATGAAACCAAAGCAAATGAATAAATAAATCAATAAATAAATAAATCACAGTCCAGTAATGGTGCTCGCTGATTCCCAGTGCAAAAGTTAGAAATGCGCACTAACCAGAAACGTATTAATAATACGTATGTGTATATGATATCATGGAGATTCCCCTCTCTTTTCTGGTCTGGTAATGGGCAGGAGCTGGAGATAGTAGAGATGAAGCGCCCTCGTGTGGCGAAATGGAGGTCCAGCAGGTCACAGAAATCCTTACAGAAGTGTGTGAAGTGGAAAATTCCTCCTCTCAAAGGCTGGTGCAGGGATCAATCTGGGTCTGCAGAAGAATAGTGCCAGGTTTAATCAAATGACTAACCCTTTAAGATTAAAGATGGCCGCCGGGCCTCCACGTGGCACCGGCGGCGGCGTAGTGTCAATGGCGTCCTGGGCTCCCCTCTGATGCGTTTCGTGCACACGCACTTCTTCAGAGCTCTACCTACGCATCATGTCTGGTGCCCACAGGTTTCTTATTCCTCTTCTTAAGAGCCTCTTTATTCCTTTAATAAACAGTCTTATCAATGGCTGATACTTTACAAGCTTGAAGGGCAGATCCTAGAGATAGTCCTTAATAGCAGTGTTTCTCAACAATCGATCCACACTGTTGGGGTCTGTATGCTTTGTATATTCCTGTATCTTAACAGGCAAGTCTCTGATGTAATTATTGCAGACCACATGTTACACAATATAAGCAGGCTTAAATACATCCAGTTGCAACTACTTGTTTGTAAGTTTGAACAAATCACACCTTTTGGAACTTGCAGACTTCCCATGATCATTTTCCTATGTGAACACACACTTTGCTTGGACAGTTATGGTGACCCCGAGCCTGGCTAGGGCTTCTCTTCTGAAACTAAGATACTATTTGGCATCCTAAAGTTTTCAGTCAAAGTAGACCTTTTGGAGATCCCCCATTAAAAAGGGTGCTAGCACATTAGCTCTGCCTCAGGTAGTTCCTTATGTGTAGCAACTCTCTCAAAGATGCCAAGGTTGGTTTCAGCGTCAATCTCTAGGAACAATTTTTATAAAGCACTCTTTATCAGCTATTGAGGTGGAACTAAGGGGTCAAGCCCAACCCCTGAAAAACAACCCCACACCATAATCCTCCCTTCACCAAACTTTACACTTGGCACAATGCAGTCAGGCAAGTACCATTCTCCTGGAAACTGTTAAACCCATGGGATTGCCAGACAGAGAAGCATAATTCATCACTCCAGAGTCCAGTGGTGGCGTGCTTTACACCACTGCATCCTACGCTTTGCATTGCACTTGGTGATGTAAGGTTTAAATGCAGTTGCTCGGCCATGGAAACCCATTCTATGAAGTTATCTACACACTGTTGTGCTAATCTGAAGGCCACATGAAGTTTGGAGGTCTTTAGCTATTGACTCTGCAGACAGTTGGCGACTTCTGCGCACTGTGTGCCTCAGCATGCGCTGACCCCGCTCTGTCATTTTACACGAGTTGCTATTGTTCCCAGTTGCTTCCACTTTGTTATATTATCACTAGGTGACAACCTATCATGTAATTCACTGAGCTCCTGAGAGCAACCCATTCCTTCACAATTGTTTGTAGAAGCAGTCTGCATACCTAGGTGCTTTTATACACCTTGGCCATGGAGGTGATTGGAACACCTCAATTCAATGGTTTGGAGGGATGGCCCAATACTTTTGGCAATATAGTGTACAAGCAGATTGAGTTACATAAAAACATAGAACAGACTTTTGGCAATATAGTGTATTTACTTGCTTATTGGGCAGATGGACAGTTGGGAGAAAGCTACAGACTCTGATCTGGACACTGACTTGCAATAAAAATGGAGAGATGCCTGTAATTAAATACAGATATTTTAGCAGTATATATTATACATGCAAAATGGGTCTGACCACATGTATACACTGAAGATTCTAAATTGCTATAAACAATTACGTATTTCAAACAAACTTTTGCATAAAAACAGAGATTATTAGTGCACAAATATTGCAATACTTGTACTAGCTGGTCAACTGTATTAAAGTGATCCCTCCCTGCCCCTGATGGATTCCCAAACACAAACAGGCAGCACTTTTCCCTTTTTAGTGTTCTATCAGCACCCAGTAGCAGACCCCCACAGCAGAAAGAGCATGATAGAGAGCTCTGAGCATCAGTCAGCTTACATACAGTATATTAAGGGCTGTAGATAAATGAGACTAACAATGAGGTCTGGCTAGCAGGTAAGATGTGGACCTAGCAAGGGGAACTTTATCTTACCCACAGCTCTGCAAAGCCCCCAAAACCCAAGCCAGAACAAAGCCTCCAAGACCCACACAATATATATATATATGTACGTATGTGCGTGTGTGTGTATTTCCTATGAATATGCGTAATTCATTTTCTGTTTCATTTATTTTAGCCATGGGAAATCTTTAAACCCATATTCCAAGACAGTTCCTGCAGTTATTGCTAAAGCCTCTGCAATTTATAATCCTATTATTTATGGAATAATTCATCCAAAATATAGGTAAGTGTAGTTATTATACACTGATTTATATTGTTTTTGACTTTTAAGTTGACCTTCTTTTTATGATTGGAAGCTGAAAGCTCTCTCGTTTTTTAAATGTGTTATGTAACAAAAGGTGTACAAATTCTGTCTAAATAGTTTTCAGCACAGAATGGCCAGATTTAGAACATGCTATAAAAGTTTTGTTTCTGTGATGTATCATAAAATCCAATTTCCAGTTTATTAAACTCAGTTGTACTAACCCCATCTGTAACAGTTTAAAGTTTCATTTAATTCATAAGGTAAGATGTTTGAAAATAGGAATTTATGAATGACAGAAAAAAAGGAGTTTTTTTAACTGTAAATTTTTATTAAAGTTTTTGAAGATAAATGCACTGCAAAAAGTGAGGCAAAAAAAATGCACCAGGCTCCACTTTGAAAAATGTTCTGTGGCCTCTTTGGGGCATTTGTTGCATGTAGGGCAGCCTGTTCAAGTAAATGCATGATGAGGGGAAACGCTCCAAACTCCCCTAAAAAAAGTGTGCCCTCGCACTACATAGCTGGTGGTAGATCTATTACATAGCTGGTGGTAGATGTAAAGGACATTGTACAATCAGATTGTACAGTGTATGGCCACCTAAAGGAAGACGTCGGAAAGTGGGTGGAAATAAAACAAGAGGTGGTATAGTAATGAGGGAGGTGTGGTCTAGACATGTGAACACGCATGTGATGTGATGCACTAAGGCAGTGCATGATGGGATATGAAGCATCCTGGAATGTCACATGATTTACATACAGGAAGTGATGGAAGCAGAAAGCATTTTTTTTAATTTCAAACAGAGAGCTGAAAATTCAAAGCTGCCGTGGAGGAGGTAAGTGAGCACATTGGGATGGCTTGGGCAGAAAAGACATTAGGAAAGGCTTCTATTTGTTATGAAAGTACAATTCTGCCTGGAAAGGTGAACTTAACCTTTAACGGTTATTGGAGGCTGGAGTTCTTGGAATATTGTTTTAGACTCCAGGAGGCCTTCAACCAACCTGGAGGTATTCCCGAGTGTAGCTCGGGGTAAAGTTTCAGTACCAAAATCGGTAACCCCGAGCTACACTCGGGATTACCCTGCAGCGTTGCTCCAGGATCTCTTCTTCACTTACCTTGTCCTGTGCTCCTGCGATATCCCCCCTGCAGCGTTCCCGGCCATCTCCTCCAGCCGATGCCAGCATCCATCTTCCGGGTTCTGTTCCCTGCGACGTCAGGACGTACGGGGATGGAACTGGCGGGAAATTTAAAAATGTCAAAAAGTGACATTCACTAAATTCACTAAAATCACATAGTAAAACATTGCTGTTTCAAACCATTTCACATACATTTTGTCCCTAGCGCTTTGTCCTGTGCCCTGCCTGCATTTTTACTGTTCTTTCTGCCTGGAAACTGAGAAACGTCCATGGCGTTCAAAAAGCGTCCCTTTAGGTCAAAAGCAGTTTTAGACCAGCTAGAGAACAATGATAGTGAATTAGAACTACTTGCAGAATTGAGTGATAATGATTTGTGGGGAAATTCGTCATCAGACACTGAAAACGATTTTGCGACTTTGCTCAGTGATGTGCGAACTTGGCGCTCTATTTCAAATTTCAGTGTTTTTGGTTTGATTATATTATTGAATTAAAGTTATTATATTATTATTATTTTTTATGATTATTTATTCAATTCGTGTTTCAAATTTTAACATACCCGGGATGTTTACTAGACTCTTGTTCAGACAGATTTCAGTGAGTTATTCCTAAAAATTACAGGCCTACAATAAAAAAAAATGACATATATGCAAAAAAATTTACCGCTTTGAGCACAGAAATACTGACATAATGGGACCGCTAGGGAGGTTAATAAGCATATTCCTGCACAAAGCTCAATTTTAAAAAAGCCCAAAAGCAAACATTTACTGTATTGCAGTTTACCAATTCCTAGATGTGATGGCTGCAGTAGTTTACTTTTTTAGGCTTTGTTTCCTTTTTTTTCATCTGGCTATCTGTTCAGTAAGATTGTTGATTTTTTTTTAACAGAACACGCTTTTCTGCAAATGTAGCAGTTAGAGTGCTGAGGCAAACAATTTTCCACTGACATGGTGGTTACAATAATCAGCTTTTATTTATTATGTAAAACCTCTATCCAAAAAAAAAACAGTTTGATGTACCTGCTTATAAAGTGCTAATGGAAGTTGGCTTAAATTTGTTAGTGTACCTAAATCTGCTAGTACATCCAACACTCCTCTACCCCCAGACTGACAATGCTGCTTTCCAAAGGTGTCCCTGTGCTCCTTCATCCAGAGTGGGGGCACTCTAATACAATAGGTTTGTTACTGGCCAGATCACCAGGTAAAAACAGGGGAAAAAAGCCTACAAAAAATGAATGCAGCCACCACATCTAAGGATTGGTAAGCTGCAATATATTACATTTTTTTATTATTTTAGGTTGCATAATGTTTAAAGCTTGAGAAAGACATCATCCAGCTCTGATCTTAGGGACTCAAGGGCCTGCTCATGTGAGTCAGTGACTATGATGCCCTGGCTATGTGAGTCAATGACAGTATGACTGCTTAGTCCTCTCACCCCTTTAATGAGGTCTGCTGTAATGTTTTCCAAAGCAGTGGTTGATTCCCACTGAAGGATTATTTTTAAGCATTCTAAAAGGTTTTCATCTCTGCTTGAAGCTTCCTGAATTCTGATCAGAGATCCTTGGGGCTTTCACTTGATGAGATATCCAGCAGTCTGGTTGAGATTTTAGGAGATGGAGGTGTAGCCATTTACAGACAAAGGTATCATGTGAATAGGCTGCACAAAGGTTTGGCGCACAGAGGTTTCTCACAGAGATTTACTTGAGTAGTTTATATCGGGGTTTTTTTACCTGTCAAAATCCTACTGGTAGTAAATCGGTAAAATTGGTAGTATTTGTATAAAGTCTCATTGTTTCATCTGGACCAGTATTCTTTAATCAAAATTCAGGACTGGTTGGAAGTTAAGATCCAAGAGTCACTGAGGGTCTATTAGCATTCAGAAATCAGTAGGCTTCCCTACGCGTGTTACTAGGAAAAATGTGCTAAAAAAAGTGCACTCCTGCTACACTAGGTGTGAATGCAACCTAAAAGTGAAATTGGAGTGTTTAGAGCCTCTCTGCCCACTCCCCTCCATATACGTATACTAAAGAAGAAGTAAGAAAGTGGGTGGAAATAAAAAGAGAGGTGGTCCAGTAGTGTACAAGGTGTGTGGTTCAGAGAGGTAAAACACTCCCTGTTCTGTGATGCAGTAAAGGAGTGCATGATGGGATATGAAGTTTCCTGGATGGTCACATGATGTTACAAGTTTGGGCGGAACAAAGCATTGGACTGGTGCTGCTGGAGGCTGCCTAGCGCCAAGTTACTGTATGGAGGGTATAGAATTTTTTTCAATGGGTTATACCCCATTTTTAGGTGTTGGGTAATAGACTGGGGCTGCTACCTTTCTGATAACGAAAATGGAGGCCTTACCACAGGGAACACTTGGGTGATTGGAGAGGTTTGTCCAATGTCCACTTGATGAATTTCATAGTTTATTGAAGATAAAAGTAAACATGTAGAGCCAACGTGTTTTTGGGGGAATGGCCTCCCCCATCTTTAGGGCTGTATTTCTTGGAGAATGGCTGACTCTAAGAGGGTTAAATAATCAGCGGCTCTGCTGTATGCCGGCGTTGTAAAACAGAGACATTCTGCCGTTCCCAAATGGGTAACTGTGGGTATAGGATTATAACTTTTTTTTTTCTATGGTTGAACTGGATGGACTTTTGGTTTTTTTTCAGCCAGACTAACTATGTAACCCAAACAAGCACAGGGAGAACATGCAAAGTCCTTTTATAAATAATAAAAGCAGCGCTAATTAATTACAAATCATACAACCGTATATATAAATTTTACAAAGTCCATACACAATCAATGTGTTTAATAGAGTCCAGTGTTTCAAGTGATTATAATACCTCACAAAATAGAATAAGTGCAGAAAGAATATGTGATTTGTCCATTTATAAGTGCACCTTCATGTATTTAACACACTCCACATGGATTGTGTATGGACTTTGTAAAATTTATATATATGGTTGTATGATATTTAATGAATTAGCGTTGCTTTAATTATTTTATATTTATATAATTGCATCACAATTATATAGTGGTTGCTGTTACACATATTTAATTTTTGACCTAGCACAGATTAGTTTTTTTGACTAGGTTAAACTCTACACCCTGTTCCAAATTATTATGCAAATTCTATTTAAGTGTCACAAAGATGAAATATTTTGTTTTTCAGTTTAACTCATGGATTGCTCTGTGTCTGACTCTTTTGATCACTGAAAACAATCTGGGACACCTGTGATAATTAGATTGGCAGGTGAGCCCAATTTAAGGAAAAACTACTAAAGGATGGTGTTCCACATTAAGCAGAGCACCATTTTCAAGCAATATGGGGAAGAAAAAGGATCTCTCTGCTGCCGAAAAGAGTGAAATAGTTCAATGCCTTGGACGAGGTATGAAAACATTAGATATTTCACGAAAACGTAAGCGTGATCATCGCACTATTGATATTTGTGGCTGATTCGGAGCACAGACAGGTTTGTGCAGATAAAGGCACATTGAGGAAGATTTCTGCCAGATCCATGCATCGGATCAAGAGAGCAGCTGCTAAAATACCATTACATAGCAGCAAACAGATATTTGAAGCTGCTGGTGCCTCTGGAGTCCCATGGACATCAAGGTGTAGAGTCCTCCAGAGTCTTGCAACTGTGCATAAACCTTCTATTTTCGGCCTTTTCCACCACTAACCAATGCTCACAAGCACTGAAACGGCTGCATTAGGCAGAAAAATACATGAAGACTAATTTTCAAACAGTCCTGTTCACTGATGAGTGCCATACAACCCTGGATGGTCCAGATGAATGGAGTAGTGGATGGTTGGTAGACGGCCACCCTGTTCCAACAAGGCTGCGACGTCAGCAAGGCGGTGGTGGGGTCATGTTTTGGTCGGAATCATGGGAACAGACCTGGTCGGCCCCTTTAGGGTCCCCATAGGTGTAAAGATGACCTCTGCAAAGTCTGTGGAGTTTGACTGACCACTTCCTTCCCTGGTACAGAAGGAAGAACTATGCTTTCCGTAATAAAATCATCTTCATGCATGACAATGCACCATCTCATGCAGCAAAGAATACCTCTGCATCAATGGCTGCTATGGGGATAAAAGGAGAGAAAGTCATGGTGTGGCCTCCATCCTCCCCTGACCTCAATCCTATTGAGAACCTTTGGCGCATCCTCAAGCAAAACATCTATGAGGGTGGGAGGCAGTTTACATCCAAACAGCAGCTCTGGGAGGCTATTCTGACATCTTGCAAACAAATTCAAGCAGAAACTCTCCAAAAACTCACAAGTTCAATGGATGCAAGACTTGTGAAGCTGCTATCAAATAAGGGGTCCTATGTTACAATGTAACGTGACCTGTTAAAATGTTTAAAAAGTTAAAATGTTGTTAAAAGTTTGATTGAAATAGCTTTTGATTTCAGTAAATATGCTGCAAACACAACAAATTTGTGTATGCTGCAAACACGACAATTTTCAGTTCTTTACAACTATGAAGTGTTTTGAAACTTACTGTGCGTAATCATTTGGAACAGTGCACTGTAAGTTTTTTATGTTTAACAAAAATACTGTTATCATTAGGAGGTTTGTCCAATAAAATGTGAATTGTACTCTTAATAGTTGATAACATGAGAATTATGCTGATTGTTATTTACATCAATTATTTAGGTAAATGAGAAAAATATCATTTGCATAATAAATTGGAACAGGGTGTAGATAGTGTCTTGGTCAGGATTCTACCCAAGGGTCCTTGTGCTGCAAGGCAGAAGTGCAGGTAAAAGCAAAAAAAGTGGTAAATTTTTTTATCAGTAGGTACTATACCTATGCACACACCACTTTGACTGCATGTCTCCCTTCACTCGGAAATGATTTGCAACCTCTAGCATGGGTACCTCTGAAGATTTAAAATGTTAAACTCTAGTCATTTAGGATACTGCAATAAGGCAATGTAAACCATAGCAGATGTGTTTTTTCTATAGGCAGATCACTACACATCATCATTGGTAATTAAACAGTTTTTTGTGCAGACTAAGCTTACCGATACAGTATACCTAATATTTTATGCTTAATGGGGATATTTATCCTGACTTACTTTTAGTACTTGTACACATGTGTTCCTAAAAGGAGCATTATGTGTATACATTTTACTTGCCAACTGTCCCCCCTCAGCAGCCTGTGATTTTAGAATAATTAAGCAGCAACAGAAATATGGCATGTTTCTTGACAGCACAAGTGTCTGCATCAGAGTTTAATTGTTCAGTTGGTTAAAAGTACTCACCCACTTACCGCTTGATTGCTAATATAAAAAAAAAAAAAAAAAAATACAAAATGCTTGTAGGCAGGTGCAGTCTGTTTTCTCCACTGTAGGTGGCGCTTAACCCAAGTAGAACCACAGCTTGGAGAGGAAATCCAAGGGAAACACTGTTTAGCTATGGTTTCATGGGTCAATGGAACAACGTTCTGGTTGGTTACACTGCGGCCATATGGCCCCTGGTGGCCTTCTTGGGTCAGCAAGGTCTATTTATGTCCCTGCCCCAGGTTTTGATGCACATTTTAAGAGTGCCTAGTGTTCAGGGAGAGACCCCACTTGCTGGGGAGAGTATCTAGCAGTAGGTAAAGGTTCTTGATGAGGAGGAAAAGGATAGGGACTTGCTAATCTGGAAGAAGTCTCCCCTCCTGGAACTGGACCGGCCAGGCTGCAATTCTCCCTCTGAAACAGATGCTGTCGGCACCTCTCCTCATCCACATCTACTGCAACTGTGAATTATTTCCCTAGTGACGCTCTCCTGCCAGGATGTTTGTAACATTGGCATTCTGTTCAATACATGTTTCATGCTTTACTGCAACTGGATTCTGTGTATTTACTATCTGCACCAAGTTGCACCTCTCCACATTCTGATATTAAAACAACATCAGGAATGTACATTAGTTGCATTTAATTATTTTTTTTAATTAGCACATAACTGAAGCATAAATGTTTTTTTACCTGCCTAGATGTCAGCTTTAAATGCATTTAGGAAGTCATTCACATGGGACTACAGATATACAGTAAGAAAAGACACACTATACTTGTACATTGAGTTTAAAAGCACTTCTTTTTCTAGGGAAACTATCCACAAGAGTGTACCTTGTCTTCGCTTCCTCATCAAACTACCAAAGAAAGACAGTTTGACAGCATCCAATTTTGAGTCTTCATTCAGAGCTTCGGTCTACAGTCGACAGTCAACAGTATCAAGGAAAAAAAAATAGCTGCATTTCCACAGTTTCCACAGCAGAAACAGTGAGTTGACATTTTTGTCAAAAAAAAAAAAAAAAAAAGAAATCTAGTGGACTGTTTGATATAAATGAACAGAACAGAGAACACAGGGTCTAATTAATGGCTCCTTTACACCATATGCATTCTGCACGTTTTTAAACGCAGTATGAACTTGCGTGCAAGAAAAATGAATGTATTGCAATGAGTTTATACCTTTGCCGCGCTTTCATCTGCATTTAATAAAGTACTGCATTTTTCACACTGCATTGTACAGTACTTGAATGCCCTGCAAACACATGTACAGTAAATGCAACTCAGTAAAGAAAAAAATTATTATATAATGTAAAAAAAAACGCACTGCAAATGCATGTAAATGCGGATTCAGAAATTCACACTAATCAAGGAGATTTCGGTGTAAAGGAGCCCTAAAGATGACTTACTGGGGTGAAGTGTGTATGATTTTTTTGTTGTACAGTACTTATTTTAGCTATTCCCTATTCTATCAAAAACACAACAAAGTTTAGATGTACTGTATATAATAAAACAAACTCCAGCCAAAAATTTTAATTGCTTTGGAAAAAGTAGGCAAGGACTTAAAGTGGAGTTCCAGGTGAAAAAAAAAAGTCAGCAGCTACAATAACTGTGGCTGCTGACTTTTAAAAAAATACAACCTCACCACTGCTGGTTTCACCGCCCATCTTCTCTCCCTGGTGCCGCCATCTTTAGTGTGGGCACTCGACTGTAACAGCTTTCAGCTTCACAGCCTGCTGCCCACTGCGCTGCACTTTGTAAATGCAAGTGTATAGTCCAAATGCACACGTTCCTGCGTTAAAAATGGCTGTGTGTATAAGTGGGTGCTGTAGCGACCGTCGGCTGGAACCGAACAAAATCAGCAAGGAAAACACATGTGACACATGCCTGATGAAGGGGTCCTGCGAGACTCTGAAACGTTGTCTTGCTGTAACTAGGTGATCGTTCATTAAAACCTTTGGACCCATATTGGTGATCCTTCGTGTGCTGGTGACATTTTTCCTTGCACTTTGTAAATGGTCCCGTAGTCTTCTAGGACCTGTCATGTGTCCCAGAAGACTATGAGGAGGGAGGACAACGTCCGCTTCTGATCGCTTAGGCAATTGCAGCAGAAGTGGGAGTGGGTACCTGTCAAATTTGGGTACCCGCTCCCCAAAGATGCCAATCCTTAATGGGGAGCGGGGGACAAAGCATTAAGCGGACCTTCCCCTTTTGAGTGGAGCTCCGCTTTAAGTCTCTTATTTTTTGCCTTTGTCTCTATTGGGGAGATTTCCCTTTACTTCTTGTGAGAACAGGAAGCAATATGAATATCTCCAGACACAAACTAAAACAAATTTTTAATAAAATGGGGGAAGAGTTGGTACTTTTGATGTTTTATTGCTGTTGATATCTTCCTGTTCTGGTGACACCTTTTCTTGTAAGGGTGTCACATGGACAATAATGTCTTTCTTACTCATATCTTCATACATACAAGGTTTTTCTCTAACACTACCCATTGCATGCAAATCCTGTTCTGTATACTAGTAGACTGCCCACCTTTTGAAATGGTTTAGCCAATAAGTTTTTTGTTTTTTTTTTCTTGGGGGGGTGATAAATGAAGAGAGGAGTTAACATACTTGCCAACATATAACAAAAAATTCCATTCAGCAAGCCATTGTAGGTGGAAAATGTACTTAAAATAGGGGCTAGACCAGGGGCCGACTGACCATTCGGGTATACAAGCATTGCCCAAGGGTCCGTGGTCAGTAGGGGGACCGGTGAGAGGCTCACTGGGCACAATTCACTAAGCGGTATCTTACCGCATCTGAGTAAGCGGTAGGATACCGCATAGCATTTAAAAAAAAAAAAGTTTGAATTTACCAAAAAACCTACTAAAATAATGCATGAGTTATTTTATCAAGCCATGCAGTATTTTAGTAGTGAAAACCATGCGTTAATGTTTCAGCTGTCAGAGGAGTTCCCCACTGACAGCTGAAAGTGAAAGAAAGAATTGCCAGCAATTAAAAAAATAATTTAAGAAACAACGTGGGGTCCCCACTCCATCCATACCAAGCCCTTCAGGTCTGGTATGGATTTTGAGGGGAGCCACTGGGACAAAATGTTATTAAAAAATGGCGTGGGGGTCCCCCCCAAAATCCATACCAGACCCTTATCCGAGCATGCAGCCCGGCAGGTCAGGAAAGGGGGGGACGAGTGAGCGCCCCCCTCCTGAACCATATCAGGCCACATGCCCTCAACATGGTGGGGTGCTTTGGGGCAGGGGGGTTCCCCCCCAAAGTACCTTGTCCCCATTTTGATGGGGACCAGGGCCTCTTCTCCACAACCCTATCCAGTGGTTGTAGGTGTCTGTGGCGGAGGGCTTATCAGAATATGGAAGCCCCCTTTAGCAAGGAGGCCCCAGATCCTGCCCTGCCATGTGAATGAATATGGGGTACATTGTACCGCAACTCATTCACAAAAAAAGTGTGAAAAAAGACAGGAGACAGTCTTTGACAAGTCCTTTATTAAAAGAAGAAAACTAAAAGACTGTCCCTTGCAGTAGATCCAATGTCACTCACGATGCCAGTCGCCACCGCTACCCAAAAAAAGTAAAAAAAAAAAAAAAAGGCTCCGCTCCTGACACTGGCTCCCAGCCGCCTGCCTGCTCCGCTGGCTTGACAGCACATGTGTGAGCCCGCCCCTTGTGGCATCATCAGCGGGGGCATGCTGGGTCAATGATGTCACAAGGAGGTGGGGCCACATTCATGATGTCACTGGGTGGCCCCGCCCCTTACATATTTAAGAACTATCAAGCCAGCGGAGCAGGCAGACGGCCAGGAGTCAGTGTTGGGAGAGGAGCTTTTTTTTTTTTTCTTTTCGGGTAGCGGCGACGGCTGGTATCGGGATTGATGTTGGATCTACTTTGGGGGGCATTCTTTTTTTTTTCTTTTAATAAAGGACTGTCTCCTGTCTTTTCTTTCACACTACACTTTTTTTTTTTTGTGAATGGGTAGCGGTACCATGTACCCCATACTCATTCACATGGGGGGGCGGGATCTGGGGGCCCCCCTGCTAAAGGGGGCTTCCAGATTCCTATAATCCCCCTGCCCACAGACGCCCACAACCACCAGCCAGTGTTGTGAGGAAGAGGCCCTTGTCCCCATCAACATGGCGACAAGGTGCTTTGGGGGAGGGGAGTGTGGCAGGCGCAGCACCCTTTGGTGCCTTGTGCGCTGTGGCATTAGAAAAATTATGCAATTGCTGTTTCTTTGTTTGATTAGACTGACTTTACTCTGTAATTCCTCCAATGCCGCTCTATGGATGCAGTAGGTTTAAAGAGCACACCGAATACTTTAGTTAACTTCTTTAATAACTTCAATCTTCTTCATATAACACTGCTTACAATGGCTTATTTCTTTCATATTACAATGGTTTAATTCGTATTACATTGGGTTGATTCAATAGTTTATCTTGATAGATTCGTTAGCTTATGTTGTTAGATTAATTCGTTAAATTCGGTGGATTGTATAGATTATGATTACTCTACAGTGACTTGATTCGATAAGTTTGTAAATTCGGTGGAACTACAAGTAAACACACACACAACAGTTTTTACATACAGATCTACCTGCATTACTAAACAACAGAGGAACACACAAGTGCATTAAATACCTATTTGGCCTTCTCTGCTTCCATAAAGCTTTTCTGATTGGAACTGTCTGTTTCCTCCTCAGTCTGGTGAGCATGTGTCTCTAGAAAATCCTAGCAGGGAGTTTTACACAGGCACAAATGTGAAACTGGCTTGGATGACTGGATTGGTTAAGGCTCTGTACAGTGTGAGGCTGTCTGTGATTGGCTCACCTTTAACTAAATCTTGAAAGGCATATTTTCCTTTTCTGCTTCTGCTAAAACAATGAATATAAATGTCATATAACAATCAAAGACGTAAATTACAGCAATGATTCTGCTTTTGGCTTTAACATATGCACATATACACTGTACTGAGGTTATTGGCAGGTTTGGTATACACATATATGAACCATATTAGCAACCTAGGACTGGTCTTAGCTGGCCAGCTATAGGGAGCCTCCTCAATGTTGGGGACATGTGGCCTGGTATGGTTCAGGAGGGGGGGCGCTCGCTCATCCCCCCCCCCCTTTCCTGACCTGCCAGGCTGCATGCTCAAATAAGGGTCTGGTATGGATCTTGGGGGGACCCCACACCATTTTTTATCAATTTTGGAGTGGGGGTTCCCCTCACAACCCATACCAGACCTGAAGGGCTTGGTATGGATGGAGGGGGGACCCCATAACATTGTTTTATTATGTTTTAAATTATTTATAATGCCCTTTATATGCAGCTGAGCTACAATATGTAGGTGGGGTGTTGTGTGGGTGTGGCTTTGTCTTTAGTGTAGGCGGAGACACAGGTGGCCCCATTATTTCTTATCTCCCCATGAGTTGTCAATCCACCCCTGGGCAAGACATTATTTTTACCACTTCAAGTCCGAACACTTTCACCCCTTCACCTTTTAGTCCAAGCCAATTTTCAGCTTTCCGTGCTTTCACACTTTGAATAACAATTACTCAATTACTTTTTAAGACAGATCAAAATTTCTTTTGGTGGTATGTAATCACCACTGGGTTTTTTTTGCCATATAAATGAAAAAAATACAGAATGTTTAAATAAAAACCTTTTTTTCTTAGTATTTTTAATAACATTTTGCAAATAAATCTTTTTTTCATAAATTTAGGCCAAAATGTATTCTGCTACATTTTTTGGTAAAAATAACCCAAAACAGTGTATATTATTTAGTCTGTGTGAAAGTTCTAGAGTCTACAAACTATGGTATATATGTATCTCAAAATTGATTAGTTGAGACCCCAAAACGCTTGTATGGGGTATGGCAGTAATCAGGACATTGGAATGAGGTATGGCG